TAACCACAAGAGCAAAAAGACCAGCTGATCACAACAGCAGAACGATCAACATTAACCACAGAAAGGTCAACATTAACCACAGAAAGGTCAACATTAACCACAACAAAACTTATATTATCCAAACAAAAGGGCTTAAATTAGGATAAATTAGCCATAACTGTAAAAGAACCAGCATTAACCACAATAAAAGAAAGACTAACATTAACCACAACAGAGGGACCACAATAATTAATCACAAAAGCCAATAGACCACCATAATTATCCACTGAAGCAAAAAAAGTAATTAACCACTGAGGGGAAACAGACAAAAGCAAAAACATCAGCATTATAACATATAACAGATAAATTTAACAAAGCATAATGTTTACATTAACACCAGAGAAGTCTTAACCCCAACATGAGGTAGAAATGTTGGGGTTCCATGGTTGAGCAACAGTACACTGTTGGCAATTATCAACAATGACAACAAAACCAGACGTATATTTAACAGATCTATAAACACATACAATTAGAATCCACAGATTTGTGAAGCATCAACAGTGACAACAATAGTGTAGAAGAAAAGGTGATGAGCAAACCACACATCAGAAGATGGAGAAACAACGACGTTTCGGTCCGTCCTGAACGACTTCATAATGGTCCAGGACGGACCGAAACGTCGTTTCGCTTCTCGATCTCCTCATGTGTCGTTTGGTCATTTCTTCAGCCACGTTATTGTGACTTCGTCTGCATGGAAGAAAAGGAGCAGGCAGTATGTACTCTCACTTACACTTGGTGTCTGCTCACTCTCAAGCATTTCACAGGACCGACGACCCGTGTCACCTGACACACAGTGGCTTGTTGCTCTTACTCCACTCTGAGGACCACTGGTGGCGTCGGGCGGCAGGGGGCATGTCTCTCAGGCGTCCACTAGTGCGTCCACTTCTGTAATGGTCTGCTGGTTCCTACTGGATGAGATGGCGGGGTGGTGGGGGGTAGGGAGAACTTTGTCGTGTGTGGGTGCTCACCTAGTTGTGCTTGCAGGGGTTGCGCTGTGGCTCTCTGGTCCCGCCTCTCAACAGGTGTACAGATTCCTGAGCCTACTGGGCTCTATCATATCTACATTTAAAACTGTGTATGGAGTCAGCCTCCACCACATCACTGCCTAATGTATTCCATCAGTTAACTACTCTGACACTGAAAAAGTTCTTTCTAACGGCCCTGTGGCTCATTTGGGTACTCAGTTTCCACCTGTGTCCCCTTGTTCGCGTCCCACCCGACGCGTGTACTCACCTAGTTGTGCTTGCAGGGATTGAGCTCTGGCTCTTTGGGCCCGTCTCTCAACTGTTATTTTTTCCCCTACACGCACACCCAGGAAGCAGCCCCTAACAGCTATCTAACTCATAAGAACATAACAACAAAGGTAACTGCAGAAGGCCTATTGGCCCATACGAAGCAGCTCCTATTTATAACCACCCAATCCCACTCATATACATGTCCAACCCGCACTTGAAACAATCGAGGAATCCCACCACCACGTTACGTGGTAACTGGTTCCACAAATCAACAACCCTGTTACCGAACCAGTATTTACCCCAAGTCTTTCCTAAATCTAAATTAACTCTCAGGTACGTATTTACTGCTATGTGAACAGGTGCATCAGGGTGAAAGAAACTTGGCCCATTTATTTCCGCCTCCGCCGGGTATCGAATCCCGAGCACTGTCCACTCAGCCGTCAGGCCCTTTGTGTGTGTGTGTGTGTATGTGTACTCACCTAGTTGTGTTTGCGGGGGTTGAGCTCTGCCTCTTTGGTCCCGCCTCTCAACCGTTAATCAACAGGTGTACAGATTCCTGAGCCTATCGGGCTCTATCATATCTACACTTGAAACTGTGTATGGAGTCAGCCTCCACCACATCACTTCCTAATGCATTCCATTTGTCAACCACTCTGACACTAAAAAAGTTCTTTCTAATATCTCTGTGGCTCATTTGGGCACTCAGTTTCCACCTGTGTCCCCTTGTGCGTGTTCCCCTTGTGTTAAATAGACTGTCTTTATCTACCCTATCAGTTCCCTTCAGAATCTTGAATGTGGTGATCATGTCCCCCCCTAACTCTTCTGTCTTCCAGCGAAGTGAGGTTTAATTCCCGTAGTCTCTCCTCGTAGCTCATACCTCTCAGCTCGGGTACTAGTCTGGTGGCAAACCTTTGAACCTTTTCCAGTTTAGTCTTATCCTTGACTAGATATGGACTCCATGCTGGGGCTGCATACTCCAGGATTGGCCTGACATATGTGGTATACAAAGTTCTGAATGATTCTTTACACAAGTTTCTGAATGGCGTTCGTATGTTGGCCAGCCTGGCATATGCCGCTGATGTTATCCGCTTGATATGTGCTGCAGGAGACAGGTCTGGCGTGATATCAACCCCCAAGTCTTTTTCCTTCTCTGACTCCTGAAGAATTTCCTCTCCCAGATGATACCTTGTATCTGGCCTCCTGCTCCCTACACCTATCTTCATTACATGTGTGTGTGTGTGTACTCACCTGTTTGTGTCTGCAGGATCGAGCATTGACTCTTGGATCCCGCCTTTCGACCATCGGTGTGTGTGTGTGTGTGTGTGTACTCACCTAATTGTACTCACCTAATTGTGCTTGCGGGGGTTGAGCTTTGGCTCTTTGGTCCCGCCTCTCAACTGTCAATCAACTGGTGTACAGATTCCTGAGCCTGTGTGTGTGTGTGTGTGTGTGTGTGTGTGTGTGTGTGTGTGTGTGTGTGTGTGTGTGTGTGTGTGTGTGTGTGTTATTGGCGAGGAATTGGCAAATTGATAGTTGTTAACTGGAGAATAAATTGACAAATCGATGGAGTTACTGGAAAGTGTAAGGCCTGAACTGTTCCCGTTGTGAGGTATGGGTGAACCGTGGGAGTTGTTGGTGGGGGAAACTAGCAAAATACTTCTGGGAGAAATTGACGAAATTGACGGTACTGAAAAAAAAAACGAATCGCATGTGTCATTGGGGTAGGTATTTGCCATTGCAAATCGTGGATGTTATTGGTGGAGAAGTGGCGAATTCTATGTATTTTTAGAGAATAATTTGTGACTTAAGGTTTAGGCTTCTGGCAAGAAATTGTCGATAGGATAAATTTTTAAAGCGATGTTCGGCCATTTAGGAACATCGCTATTAGCTTAAATTGTCAATTTTCTGTAATTATTACGTCCTGTGTCATGTAGACATAACTAAATGTATCAAGAGACAAATGTTATGCATGTGATTATTGCAAAAAAATCGAAAAAATAACAAATATAATGGTAGAAAAACAGAAATGTTAGCTTAAATTTATCGACGCACTGGAAAGCCAAATACACAAAAAGCCTCCGTGTATAAAGCGGCGTGCACGGAGAGAATACAATATGATTGTTTCGAAAATACAATAGACTTGGCCAATCGTTTTGAGGAGAAAAGGAAAAATATTTGTTACAATATTTAGTGAAATAAAAATGGATTTCTAGATAACGATACGATTTTTTAGATATTGATATTTCTATTGATTTTCTATTATTACAAATATTGATTTTCTAGATATAAATGGATTTTCAGATACATTTGTGAGATTGGCGAATATAGCAGATATAAAATCTTACGATATCGCAGCTGTCTAAATGATATCAATCATGTCGAACCCTATATAACACGTACCAGACACAAAACAATAGGCCTACTGACTTTCTGCTCGTATAATCTTATATATAATTCATATATATTATTGAATACTCTTAATTTTAAGCTTGGCCTGATCTATGACTTGACAACCCGTCTCCCTATTATGTCATGCCCCTGGTTAGGCTATTCAATTTGTGCCCGTGTTCAAACCAGCCAAAACTGTAATGATTTGTGAGAATACAGCTGTTACTGCTATGTAGACTTAGATACATGAAAAAAATAAGATAACTTGCTGTAAGCTAAACTTAGAATGTCAGATTTGAAGTCAGTCATCATTATAGGCCTAAATTGGGCTAGTTCAAGATTTGCGTCACAATAGATCTATACGAGGCTAGTTCTGAATTTGCGCTTTCATTATATATATAGATAAGCTGATAGGAAAGTTAAGTTTGGCGTCTTCAGTGTTTAGAAAATTGTCTTCATTAGATAATAGGCTACTTCATGATTACTCTCCATGATATACTCTTGAACTCAGGTAACTCTTATAGGCTACCTGGGTTAGCCTATAACCCAGTTAGCCTGGGTTATAGGCTAACCAAGGCCTTATCTTCGCCTACACCCCCTCCCACAACACACCCAGTGTGTGTAAACTACACCACCACCTGTTAACTGGATGTATACCTAATTAACAGGTGACCCTCAGCGTCTCCAAACAGAAGCTTAAGTGTGTGTGTGTTTATATCTTAATAACAGATTAAGGCGGGGGAATCTCCCTGCCCGCCTCCCCGCACTCAGGGGCACCAACGCCCAAACTAAATATTGTCATACACTTTACACACACAATTGTTGTCAACATGCAAAGTGTGTACGTTGAGTGGCAAAGTTGCGTGGAGTGACAAGTGTGGTGGTGTGAGGAGTGTGTGTGAGGAGCTGGGGCAGAGGAGCCGACAATCACACCAACAATACAAGTATGAGGCTAATTGTGAGGAGAGGTGAGTGTAGGTAGGAAGGTCCTCATAACCAACTTGAACTTCGAGGCAACTGGATGTTATGTGTGACAACTAATAGTGAGGACTGGACGCAGGTGTTACCCAACACCTGGCCTCCCTTCACGAGTGGAGGCAGGTGTTACACAACACCTGGCCTCCCTTCACGAGTGGAGGCAGGTGTTACCCAACACCTGGTCTCCCTTCACGAGTGGAGGCAGGTGTTACACAACACCTGGCCTCCCTTCACGAGTGGAGGCAGGTGTTACCCAACACCTGACCTCCCTTCACGAGTGGAGGCAGGTGTTACACAACACCTGGCCTCCCTTCACGTGGCTTTTACCCGTGTATCGATGAGCGAGACAGGTGTTCTTACCTCTGCGTGCAGGTGAAGCAGGTGTCGTCTCCGGCTTTATCCTGGCAGGTGTCTATCGACTGGGTCACACAGTAAACCTTTTGTCCACTCTATTAATTCCATGACACACTATTCATTGATATTATTATTCCTTGGAGTTGCAGATCGGGTTTACAAACTCTGATCACAACCACCACATTAGGTCACTGCTCACTGGTGTTTTTTCTCAATATCATAATGACAGGATGTTTGGGAGAGAGTGAAGCGAGCAGCGTGTACTCGAGGAGCCGGGGAGCGACGCGTCCTCCCCTCACAACACACGGGCTACAACTGACAGCTTGGGCCAGAGTTCATCTCACCTGCCTGACGCCCAGGATGTCAACACCTCAACTTTACACTCGGATACTCCACATGGTAAATACACTCAGGAAGGAGTGTTGTAGGAGATTATTCCACGTTGGTGTAGGGGATTTATTCCTTTCATGAATATATTCGAATACACAGCTGTACAGAAAACAAATCATAGCATTATTGTGAATAAATCCCTTGGTAATGTTTAGCTGAAAGAACTTACTTTCGTGTATTTAGCGAATATTGCCATGAGTCCTAATTAACAACTGTAAACTAGCAACAATGAAGCAGCATATTATAATGATGATATAAGAAGCATTCATTCCGCATCATGCAACTAGGACACGAAAATGAAATGTTATATACGCTACGTGGCACCTGTTCATACACCTGAGCGGCGCTGCCACGTGAAGAGAGTCGGCGTGGAGGAAAGTCACGGGAACAGAGGAGAGGAGCGGTAATGTGGCAGCTGCGCCAGGAAAAACAAGCTTGTGTGCAGAGTGATGCAAAGCACCGAGTCCTACTCCTGCTCTCCCCAGGGCCTGCACTCGGCCCTCCCTGCACTGTTTCCTCCTGAACGCCGCGCTCACTTTCTTGCAGCAGTCCCACGCCAGTTGCCAGGCGTGGACACTGTAGTCTCACCCCTCCCACGCCTCCCTCGGTGCATGGGTGTCACCTTTTGTACGATATGTGGCGTCCACTGCAAACTCCCACGCTTATGTGGTATTGTTGCGTGGTAACGCTTTCACGGCTCACAAGTGGCTAGTATTGCAAGGGCTCAAGGTACACGTCTGAACTCCTGTTGCAAGGTTGCACGCCTCAAGGTACACATATAACTCTTGTTGCAAGGAACTAAAGCTCAAGGTAGAGGCATAATGTCAATTGCAAGGTCCACACTACCCCTGCTGGCAGGTGTTCACACTACCCCTGCTGGCAGGTGCTCACACTACCCCTGCTGGCAGGTGTTCACACTACCCCTGCTGGCAGGTGTTCACACTACCCCTGCTGGCAGGTGTTCACACTACCCCTGCTGGCAGGTGTTCACACTACCCCTGCTGGCAGGTGCTCACACTACCCCTGCTGGCAGGTGTTCACACTACCCCTGCTGGCAGGTGTTCACACTACCCCTGCTGGCAGGTGTTCACACTACCCCTGCTGGCAGGTGTTCACACTACCCCTGCTGGCAGGTGTTCACACTACCCCTGCTGGCAGGTGTTCACACTACCCCTGCTGGCAGGTGTTCACACTACCCCTGCTGGCAGGTGTTCACACTACCCCTGCTGGCAGGTGTTCACACTACCCCTGCTGGCAGGTGTTCACACTACCCCTGCTGGCAGGTATTTACACTACCCCTGCTGGCAGGCGCTCACACTACCCCTGCTGGCAGGTGCTCACACTACCCCTGCTGGCAGGTGCTCACACTACCCCTGCTGGCAGGTGCTCACACTACCCCTGCTGGCAGGTGCTCACACTACCCCTGCTGGCAGGTGTTCACACTACCCCTGCTGGCAGGTGTTCACACTACCCCTGCTGGCAGGTGCTCACACTACCCCTGCTGGCAGGTGCTCACACTACCCCTGCTGGCAGGTGTTCACACTACCCCTGCTGGCAGGTGTTCACACTACCCCTGCTGGCAGGTGCTCACACTACCCCTGCTGGCAGGTGCTCACACTACCCCTGCCGGCAGGTGTTCACACTTCACTACTGATATCATCCTTTGCCTTAGTCCGTGTTGTTGATATCTCTGGAGTATCTCGCATGTTGTGATCATGATATCTCATGCAAATGACACAGACAGACACAGATGTGCTCAACATAACCCTAGTAGATGACAGACCCTGAACACCTGACTTGTCTATACACGTTGAATCACGTGTGCTATCTGATATCAGCTTTATCTGTTATCTCCTGTGTTATGTGCTGTCACTTGAGTTGTCACCTTTGTTATCTGCTATCGTCCGTGTTATGTGCTATCACATGTGTTTCCTGTTATCACCTGTGTTATCACCGGTGATAACATCTCCTGTTATCATTTGTGTCGGGCATCAGGCAGGGAGGTACCTGCAGCTGTGGTGGTGGGGGCTACCTGCAGCTGTGGTGGTGGGGGCTACCTGCAGCTGTGGTGGTGGGGGCTACCTGCAGCTGTGGTGATGGGGGCTACCTCCAGCTGTGGTGGTGGGGGCTACCTCCAGCTGTGGTGGTGGGGGCTACCTCCAGCTGTGGTGGTGGGGGCTACCTCCAGCTGTGGTGGCGGGGGCTACCTCCAGCTGTGGTGGTGGGGGCTACCTCCAGCTGTGGTGGTGGGGGCTACCTCCAGCTGTGGTGGTGGGGGCTGTGTGGTGGTGGGGGCTACCTCCAGCTGTGGTGGTGGGGGCTACCTCCAGCTGTGGTGGTGGGGGCTACCTCCAGCTGTGGTGGTGGGGGCTACCTCCAGCTGTGGTGGTGGGGGCTACCTCCAGCTGTGGTGGTGGGGGCTACCTCCAGCTGTGGTGGTGGGGGCTACCTCCAGCTGTGGTGGTGGGGGCTACCTCCAGCTGTGGTGGTGGGGGCTACCTCCAGCTGTGGTGGTGGGGGCTACCTGCAGCTGTGGTGGTGGGGGCTACCCGCAGCTGTGGTGGTGGGGGCTACCTCCAGCTGTGGTGGTGGGGGCTACCTCCAGCTGTGGTGGTGGGGGCTACCCGCAGCTGTGGTGGTGGGGGCTACCCGCAGCTGTGGTGGTGGGGGCTACCTCCAGCTGTGGTGGTGGGGGCTACCTCCAGCTGTGGTGGTGGGGGCTACCTCCAGCTGTGGTGGTGGGGGCTACCTCCAGCTGTGGTGGTGGGGGCTACCTCAGCTGTGGTGGTGGGGGCTACCTCCAGCTGTGGTGGTGGGGGCTACCCGCAGCTGTGGTGGTGGGGGCTACCTCCAGCTGTGGTGGTGGGGGCTACCTCCAGCAGCTGTGGTGGTGGGGGCTACCTGCAGCTGTGGTGGTGGGGGCTACCTCCAGTGGTGGTGGGGGCTACCCGCAGCTGTGGTGGTGGGGGCTACCTCCAGCTGTGGTGGTGGGGGCTACCTCCAGCTGTGGTGGTGGGGGCTACCTCAGCTGTGGTGGTGGGGGCTAGCTGTGGTGGTGGGGGCTACCTCTGTGGTGGTGGGGGCTACCTCCAGCTGTGGTGGTGGGGGCTACCTCCAGCTGTGGTGGTGGGGGCTACCTCCAGCTGTGGTGGTGGGGGCTACCTCCAGCTGTGGTGGTGGGGGCTACCTCCAGCTGTGGTGGTGGGGGCTACCTCCAGCTGTGGTGGTGGGGGCTACCTCCAGCTGCTGTGGTGGTGGGGGCTACCTCCAGCTGTGGTGGTGGGGGCTACCTGCAGCTGTGGTGGTGGGGGCTACCTGCAGCTGTGGTGGTGGGGGCTACCTGCAGCTGTGGTGGTGGGGGCTACCTCCAGCTGTGGTGGTGGGGGCTACCTCCAGCTGTGGTGGTGGGGGCTACCTCCAGCTGTGGTGGTGGGGGCTACCTCCAGCTGTGGTGGTGGGGGCTACCTCCAGCTGTGGTGGTGGGGGCTACCTCCAGCTGTGGTGGTGGGGGGCTACCTCCAGCTGTGGTGGTGGGGGGCTACCTCCAGCTGTGGTGGTGGGGGCTACCTCCAGCTGTGGTGGTGGGGGCTACCTCCAGCTGTGGTGGTGGGGGCTACCTCCAGCTGTGGTGGTGGGGGCTACCTCCAGCTGTGGTGGTGGGGGCTACCTCCAGCTGTGGTGGTGGGGGCTACCTCCAGCTGTGGTGGTGGGGGCTACCTCCAGCTGTGGTGGTGGGGGCTACCTCCAGCTGTGGTGGTGGGGGCTACCTCCAGCTGTGGTGGTGGGGGCTACCTCCAGCTGTGGTGGTGGGGGCTACCTGCAGCTGTGGTGGTGGGGGCTACCTCCAGCTGTGGTGGTGGGGGCTACCTCCAGCTGTGGTGGTGGGGGCTACCCGCAGCTGTGGTGGTGGGGGCTACCTCCAGCTGTGGTGGTGGGGGCTACCTCCAGCTGTGGTGGTGGGGGCTACCCGCAGCTGTGGTGGTGGGGGCTACCCGCAGCTGCACCTGCAGCTGTGGTGGTGGGGGCTACCTGCAGCTGTGGTGGTGGGGGCTACCTCCAGCTGTGGTGGTGGGGGCTACCTCCAGCTGTGGTGGTGGGGGCTACCTCCAGCTGTGGTGGTGGGGGCTACCTCCAGCTGTGGTGGTGGGGGCTACCTCCAGCTGTGGTGGTGGGGGCTACCTCCAGCTGTGGTGGTGGGGGCTACCTCCAGCTGTGGTGCTGTGGTGGTGGGGGCTACCCGCAGCTGTGGTGTGGTGGGGGCTACCTGCAGCTGTGGTGGTGGGGGCTACCCGCAGCTGTGGTGGTGGGGGCTACCTCCAGCTGTGGTGGTGGGGGCTACCCGCAGCGGTGGTGGTGGGGGCTACCTCCAGCTGTGGTGGTGGGGGCTACCTGCAGCTGTGGTGGTGGGGGCTACCTCCAGCTGTGGTGGTGGGGGCTACCTGCAGCTGTGGTGGTGGGGGGGGCTACCTCCAGCTGTGGTGGTGGGGGCTACCTCCAGCTGTGGTGGTGGGGGCTACCTCCAGCTGTGGTGGTGGGGGCTACCCGCAGCTGTGGTGGTGGGGGCTACCCGCAGCTGTGGTGGTGGGGGCTACCTCCAGCTGTGGTGACCCGCAGCTGTGGTGGTGGGGGCTACCCGCAGCTGTGGTGGTGGGGGCTACCTGCAGCTGTGGTGGTGGGGGCTACCTCCAGCTGTGGTGGTGGGGGCTACCTCCAGCTGTGGTGGTGGGGGCTACCTCCAGCTGTGGTGGTGGGGGCTACCTGCAGCTGTGGTGGTGGGGGCTATACTGTGGTGGTGGGGGCTATTGTGGTGGTGGGGGCTACCTGCAGCTGTGGTGGTGGGGGCTACCCGCAGCTGTGGTGGTGGGATACCATTACTCAGGTTCTCAACAAACTTTTCCTGTAAAGTTGCGTTTTCTTTCATTCTCCATTTTAATAAAAAAATTATTTTATGATGGAAAAGAAAGAAATTTTCTTTTCGTTGTTGGAGAGCGAATTGATAGAAACAAAGCAGAGTTGCATCTGCAGCATTCATGTGTGTGTATAATCTCTGGATCAACAGGTGATCCATCATTGATTATCACACCTCTGCATGCTGCTGCTTTCATTTTCTTTTCATTCCTCATCTTAGTTTCTTTCAATTTCATTCCTCGTCTCACTGTCTCTCTTAGTGGTGGTTAGTGGAGACGTGGTGAAATAAGTGCAGGCCAGCGGGCGGCAGGCCGGGGCAGGCTGGAAGAGGGCGGGAGGTGCAGGCCAGCGGGCGGCAGGGCGGCAGGCCGGGGCAGGCCGGGGCAGGCTGGAAGAGGGCGGGAGGTGCAGGCCAGCGGGCGGCAGGGCGGCAGGCCGGGGCAGGCTGGAAGAGGGCGGGAGGTGCAGGCCAGCGGGCGGCAGGCTGGGGCAGGCTGGAAGAGGGCGGGAGGTGCAGGCCAGCGGGCGGCAGGCCGGGGCAGGCTGGAAGAGGGCGGGAGGTGCAGGCCAGCGGGCGGCAGGCCGGGGCAGGCTGGAAGAGGGCGGGAGGTGCAGGCCAGCGGGCGGCAAGCCGGGGCAGGCTGGAAGAGGGCGGGAGGTGCAGGCCAGCGGGCGGCAGGCCGGGGCAGGCTGGAAGAGGGCGGGAGGTGCAGGCCAGCGGGCGGCAGGCCGGGGCAGGCTGGAAGAGGGCGGGAGGTGCAGGCCAGTGGGCGGCAGGCCAGGGCAGGCTGGAAGAGGGCGGGAGGTGCAGGCCAGCGGGCGGCAGGCCGGGGCAGGCTGGAAGAGGGCGGGAGGTGCAGGCCAGCGGGCGGTAGGGAGGCAGGCTGGAGGAGGGCGGGAGGTGCAGGCCAGCGGGCGGTAGGGAGGCAGGCCGGGGCAGGCTGGAGGTGCAGGCCAGCGGGCGGTAGGGCGGCAGGCCGGGGCAGGCTGGAGGAGGGCGGGAGGTGCAGGCCAGCGGGCGGTAGGGAGGCAGGCCGGGGCAGGCTGGAGGAGGGCGGGAGGTGCAGGCCAGCGGGCGGTAGGGAGGCAGGCCGGGGCAGGCTGGAGGAGGGCGGGAGGTGCAGGCCAGCGGGCGGTAGGGCGGCAGGCCGGGGCAGGCTGGAGGAGGGCGGGAGGTGCAGGCCAGCGGGCGGTAGGGAGGCAGGCCGGGGCAGGCTGGAGGAGGGCGGGAGGTGCAGGCCAGCGGGCGGTAGGGCGGCAGGCCGGGGCAGGCTGGTGGAGGGCGGGAGGTGCAGGCCAGCGGGCGGTAGGGAGGCAGGCCGGGGCAGGCTGGAGGAGGGCGGGAGGTGCAGGCCAGCGGGCGGTAGGGCGGCAGGCCGGGGCAGGCTGGAGGAGGGCGGGAGATGCAGGCCAGCGGGCGGTAGGGCGGCAGGCCGGGGCAGGCTGGAGGAGGGCGGGAGGTGCAGGCCAGCGGGCGGTAGGGAGGCAGGCCGGGGCAGGCTGGAGGAGGGCGGGAGGTGCAGGCCGGGGCAGGCTGGAGGAGGGCGGGAGGTGCAGGCCAGCGGGCGGTAGGGAGGCAGGCCGGGCAGGCTGGAGGAGGGCGGGAGGTGCAGGCCAGCTTGCGGTAGGGAGGCAGGCCGGGGCAGGCTGGAGGAGGGCGGGAGGTGCAGGCCAGCGGGCGGCAGGCAGGGGCAGGCTGGAGGAGGGCGGGAGGTGCAGGCCAGCGGGCGGTAGGGAGGCAGGCCGGGGCAGGCTGGAGGAGGGCGGGAGGTGCAGACCAGCGGGCGGCAGGCAGGGGCAGGCTGGAGGAGGGCGGGAGGTGCAGGCCAGCGGGCGGTAGGGAGGCAGGCCGGGGCAGGCTGGAGGAGGGCGGGAGGTGCAGGCCAGCGGGCGGCAGGCAGGGGCAGGCTGGAGGAGGGCGGGAGGTGCAGGCCAGCGGGCGGTAGGGAGGCAGGCCGGGGCAGGCTGGAGGAGGGCGGGAGGTGCAGGCCAGCGGGCGGTAGGGAGGCAGGCCGGGGCAGGCTGGAGGAGGGCGGGAGGGGCAGGCCAGCGGGCGGTAGGACATCAGGCCGGGGCAGGCTGGAGGAGGGCGGGAGGTGCAGGCCAGCGGGCGGTAGGGAGGCAGGCCGGGGCAGGCTGGAGAAGGCCGGGAGGTGCAGGCCAGCGTGCGGTAGGACATCAGGCCGGGGCAGGCTGGAGAAGGCCGGGAGGTGCAGGCCGGGGCAGGACAAGCGTGGTGCTAGGTGGGTATTGGCTGCTGATTACGCTTGACTAATTATTGTTACGCCGAGCGGGTCGGTGTCTGGCCCCCCACACGCAGCCACCAGCCTCGCTCGCCACCAGCCTCGCTCGCCACCAGCCTCGCTCGCCACCAGCCTCGCTCGCCACCAGCCTCGCTCGCCACCAGCCTCGCTCGCCACCAGCCTCGCTCGCCACCAGCCTCGCTCGCCGCCAGCCTCGCTCGCCACCAGCCTCGCTCGCCACCAGCCTCGCTCGCCACCAGCCTCGCTCGCCACCAACACGTAACCCCAGACCCTCACCATGCACCTTGGCTTCCAAGTTATAGAAGGAAGTCACTTCATTTTCCCACATTTTCAGAGTTCGGAGCACTTGCGGACCCGTACTCGAGGCCAGACTGTCCGGGTCCGTGGCCGTGGTCCGGGCTATGTTTGCAGGCGGCGTCTAACTGATGAGTTTAATGAAAACTGAGGAAATCTGTTGAGTACTACATGAAGTCCTTGATGAGCCTCAGCAGCAGGTAGACATGTGGCTGTTAGAGTTCAACCCCCAACAAGTACAAGGTACTGAAGACGGGAGACGGTGAGAGGGTACCAGAAGAGGGTAACCCACAAGGGGAAGTCAGTTACGGGAATCGGGATGAGAAAAATCTTGCAAGTGGACGTAATTCCAGAGCACTTACTTAACACTTCACACTTACTTAACACTTATAAACACTTTGGAAGATGGTAAACAAGAATAGAAATCTAAACAAGGACTTATTGGAAACAATTTGTGCCTACATAGGGGGGGGGGCTGACGGCTGAGTGAACAGGTCTCGGGATTCGTAGTCCTAAGGTTCCGGGTTCGATCCCCGGCGGAGACGGAAACAAATGGGCAGAGTTTCTTTTACCCTTATGCGCCTGTTCACCTAGCAGTAAATAGGTACCTGGCAGTTGGATAGCTGCTACGGGGTGCTTTCTGGGGGGGGGTGTAACAAAAAGGAGGGCTGGTCGAGGACCGGGCCGCGGGGATGCTGAGCCTGAAATCATCTCAAGATAACCTAAAGAAATGACAGTGTTAGACGAATTAGATGAATACTATAATCAGAACCAGCATGGAATCCGCACCTCGTGAAGGAAAAACCGTAAATTGAAAAGTAGAGATATGATCACAACGTACAAAATACTAAGAATATGGGTAAGGTGAAAAAGAATAATCTCCCTAAACTGAGATAACATAGTAATGAGGAGGGTAACAGTTGGAAAGAAAAGGTTATCTTGAGATGATTTCGGGGCTTTGTGTCCCCGCGCGATAGGTTAAGTAATAATTGTAAATAAGAAGCAATAAGATGCTTATCTTAACATACTAAGAAGGTTAGGTGAGGTCGGTGTTTTCTATGAAGCTTTTCAAGGTAAACTAAAATATTCACAATCAATTAGTATGTCACATATGCACTTATTAAATAAGCCAATATTGACTAAAAGCAAGTGCGAGAACGGGTTGCCCCGCGGCCCGGTCCTCGACCAGGCCTCCACCCCCAGGAAGCAACCCGTGACAGCTGACTAACACCCAGGTACTATTTACTGCTAGGTAACAGGGGCATCAGGGTGAAATAAACTCTTCCCATTGTTTCTCGCCGGCGCCCGGAATTGAACCCGGGACCACAGGATCACGCGTCCAGTGTTCTGTCCGCTCAGCCACCGGCTCCCTAAGAGAACAGTAGGAACATGAGAAGGTCAGACATAGTGAGTGACCCCACACGCCGTAGTCACAGGTCACCGCGAGAGGTCAACACCACGAGACCAGTTACGCACGTGGGAAAACTTGACTCATGTAATTCATTTAAATTTATACTATTTTCGATAGCTACGAAGGACCACCACTTTTGTGAAAAAGTATAAAACTAGGGCAGAGCAAGTGGTTTGATATTAATTCATGAACTAGTGTCCTATGGATGTTCTTAATTAATAATATATTAAATATTAAATGAGTCTGTATGTATGTATTTGACTCATACATAATGTATGAGTCAAATTTACTCACCCAAAATGAGTGAATTACCTGCTAAAAGATTAATATATCCCAAACATTATTGGTTCTTCGCCAGAATAATAATAATATGAATGTAAAATAAATTGGTTATATAATAAATAATTGGCGGTAAATGCACCTCAATATGCTATAGGAATGACATAAATTATAGCAAAAATCAAGAATTAGTTGAATTGATCTTAAAGATCATTAATATTACCAGGTTAACATATACAGACAACTGTTAACAGCTTAGCTGTACAAATAAGAGATGTGAAGTCGGTTGCCACACTCCACTGACGCCGTGTTGGGTCGGGGAAGTTGGTCGTGAAGGTGGGTAGCCTAGTGCCTCGCTTGTACCAGTGACGCCACTAGTACCAGTGACGCCACTAGTACGAGTGACGCCACTAGTACCAGTGACGCCACTAGTACCAGTGACGCCACTAGTACGAGTGACGCCACTAGTACCAGTGACGCCACTAGTACCAGTGACGCCACTAGTACCAGTGACGTCACTAGTACGAGTGACGCCACTAGTACCAGTGACGCCACTAGTACCAGTGACGCCACTAGTACGAGTGACGCCACTAGTACTAGTGACGCCACTAGTACTAGTGACGCCACTAGTACCAGTGACGCCACTAGTACGAGTGACGCCACTAGTACCAGTGACGCCACTAGTACCAGTGACGCCACTAGTACCAGTGACGTCACTAGTACGAGTGACGCCACTAGTACCAGTGACGCCACTAGTACCAGTGACGCCACTAGTACGAGTGACGCCACTAGTACTAGTGACGCCACTAGTACTAGTGACGCCACTAGTACTAGTGACGCCACTAGTACGAGTGACGCCACTAGTACCAGTGACGTCACTAGTACGAGTGACGCCACTACGAGTGACGCCACTAGTACGAGTGACGCCACTAGTACTAGTGACGCCACTAGTACCAGTGACGTCACTAGTACGAGTGACGTCACTAGTACGAGTGACGTCACTAGTACGAGTGACGCCACTAGTACGAGTGACGCCACTAGTACGAGTGACGCCACTAGTACGAGTGACGCCACTAGTAGTGACGCCACTACGAGTGACGCCACTAGTACCAGTGACGCCACTAGTACCAGTGACGCCACTAGTACCAGTGACGCCACTAGTACGAGTGACGCCACTAGTACGAGTGACGCCACTAGTACCAGTGACGCCACTAGTACCAGTGACGCCACTAGTACCAGTGACGCCACTAGTACCAGTGACGCCACTAGTACCAGTGACGCCACTAGTACCAGTGACGCCACTAGTACCAGTGACGCCACTAGTACGAGTGACGCCACTAGTACCAGTGACGCCACTAGTACCAGTGACGCCACTAGTACCAGTGACGCCACTAGTACGAGTGACGCCACTAGTACGAGTGACGCCACTAGTACGAGTGACGCCACTAGTACGAGTGACGCCACTAGTACGAGTGACGCCACTAGTACGAGTGACGCCACTAGTACGAGTGACGCCACTAGTACGAGTGACGCCACTAGTACCAGTGACGCCACTAGTACCAGTGACGCCACTAGTACGAGTGTGACGCCACTAGTACCAGTGACGCCACTAGTACCAGTGACGCCACTAGTACCAGTGACGCCACTAGTACCAGTGACGCCACTAGTACCAGTGACGCCACTAGTACCAGTGACGCCACTAGTACCAGTGACGCCACTAGTACGAGTGACGCGCCACTAGTACCAGTGACGCCACTAGTACCAGTGACGCCACTAGTACGAGTGACGCCACTAGTACCAGTGACGCCACTAGTACGAGTGACGCCACTAGTACGTGACGCCCACTAGTACGAGTGACGCCACTAGTACGTGACGCCACTACTAGTACGAGTGACGCCACTAGTACCAGTGACGCCACTAGTACCAGTGACGCCACTAGTACGAGTGACGCCACTAGTACCAGTGACGCCACTAGTACCAGTGACGCCACTAGTACCAGTGACGCCACTAGTACTAGTGACGCCACTAGTACCAGTGACGCCACTAGTACGAGTGACGCCACTAGTACGAGTGACGCCACTAGTACCAGTGACGCCAGTACGAGTGACGCCACTAGTACGAGTGACGCCACTAGTACGAGTGACGCCACTAGTACGAGTGAGCCACTAGTACGCGCCTCTAGTACTAGTAGTACGAGTGACGCCACTAGTACCAGTGACGCCACTAGTACGAGTGACGCCACTAGTACGAGTGACGCCACTAGTACGAGTGACGCCACTAGTACGAGTGACGCCACTAGTACGAGTGACGCCACTAGTACCAGTGACGCCACTAGTACCAGTGACGCCACTAGTACGAGTGACGCCACTAGTACCAGTGACGCCACTAGTACGTGACGCCACTAGTACGAGTGACGCCACTAGTACGAGTGACGCCACTAGTACGAGTGACGCCACTAGTACGAGTGACGCCTCTAGTACGACGACGCCACTAGTACCAGTGACGCCACTAGTACGAGTGACGCCACTAGTACGAGTGACGCCACTAGTACGAGTGACGCCACTAGTACGAGTGACGCCACGCCACTAGTACCAGTGACGCCACTAGTACGAGTGACGCCACTAGTACCAGTGACGCCACTAGTACGAGTGACGCCACTAGTGACGCCACTAGTACGAGTGACGCCACTAGTACGAGTGACGCCACTAGTACGAGTGACGCCACTAGTACGAGTGACGCCACTAGTACGAGTGACGCCACTAGTACGAGTGACGCCACTAGTACGAGTGACGCCACTAGTACGAGTGACGCCACTAGTACGAGTGACGCCACTAGTACGAGTGACGCCACTAGTACGAGTGACGCCACTAGTACGAGTGACGCCACTAGTACGAGTGACGCCACTAGTACGAGTGACGCCACTAGTACGAG